TATCTATCTATCTATCTATCTATCTATCTATCTATCTATCTATCTATCTATCTATCTATCATCTATCTATCTATCTATCTATCTATCATCTATCTGTCTGTCTGTCTGTCTGTCTGTCTGTCTGTCCGGACGGACGGACGGACGGACAGACAGACAGACAGACAGACAAACAGACAGACAGACAGACAGACACTAGGGGTTGTTAAAAGCAAGCCAGAACTGCCTAGTGTCTCTTAATTCAACTGGAGCACATTTTCTGCACTTGTCTGAGAGATTTCTGACCAATATAGATCACATTTTACTTTTTAAATGTATAAATGAGTTGGATTTTAAATTGACTTAAAATTTCTCGTAGAACCATTTGAACAGGAACGTTTGGTTTTCTAAATCAAAATCAGCACACTAAATTAAAAATGATGGGTAATTAAGGTGTATTAGTTCTTATGATGGAAACTTCCTAAAATAAAATTAAATAAAACAAAAGCAAGATGTTTGCAAATGAAGGAGTGGATGGGTAACCGGGGTATTAGGCTGGTCTTTTCTAAAGCCTTCCCTCACATCTAGTCGGTCACATTGCCTTGTCAACTGTTAAATTCAAAGGTCATTTTGGTCAGCTGACTTAAAAAGTGGCCATGTTCTTCTCTCTATTTAAAACACATATAGAGCGTCAACGCTGGATCTGAATCTGTTGTGCTTTAATTATTTTTAAACGTATTACCAGATGATTCATCTTTAAAATGAAGATTAGTGCTTTCATGTTATTTTGTTACCAAGAGAGGGTTGGAAAGACAGTAGTGCAAAGTTTTATTTATTTTACCCAGATGAAAAGAAATCACATTTCAGGGAATAAAATCAGTTTAATGTCAGCTGAATCAAGTCATAACTAATGTCAGAATTCTGACATTAAAGTCAGAATTTTGAGAATACTGTCAAAATTCTGAGGAAAGAAAATCAGAATTCTGAGAAAAACTTTATAGTTTGGGATTGAAGTCAGAATTATGAGATTAATATTTGAATTCTGAGATTAAAGTCAGAATTCTGAGGAAAGAAAATCAGCATTACTAGATAAAACCTAACATGCTGAGATAGAAAAATCAGAATTCTGAGATTAAAGTCAGATTTTCTTTTGATTGACGCTAATCCTCTTCCGTACCAAAACACCTGCTTCGAATGTTATCACTCCAATGTCCAGTGGTCGATATTAGCAGGCTATGACCTACATCTAGAAGGTGTTAAAATTATGCACATTTATTCCACATTAAGTAAAAGGATTGAATCAACAGCAGAAATATTTCTATTTCTATGTTATGGTATTTTTGTAGAATTTTGGTTGTAGTTTGAATGCACATTTAAAAATGCTTTCATCACTGATGAGTTTCAAATGACAGATTGAAACGTATCTTTTAAATAATAGATGTTTTGGAATATTTTCAATGTTTCTCTTGGGTTGCTGCTAATCTCACCAATGAAAATAGCATTTAAGGGTCAGTAAATAAAATTTAAGAATCAGAAGAACCAGACCAACATTAAAAAAAACAGGTATTTGTCTTTTCAAGAGTCATTCACCAATCTGTTTTGTAATTTCAGTAAATCCCAATCTGCAAAAAAAAAAAAAAATAAATAAAAAAATAAAAAAATCTGATAAGGATAAAGACAAAAAATCATATGGGGACATCTCATTAAGACTAAAACTTTTGGGTCCTGTTTATGTTTACATATTCAAACCAGAATGTAACACAGCCGTTTTGTTTAGATGTGATCTTTGTGAGTTTGGCCCATCCACTAGGTGCCATCAGATCACATCAAATTATGGTGTTAAAATGTGGGTCGTTGCAGGAATGTTTTTGTTAGGAGGCCACTGCCAAATCAAATCTCCCATGTGAAAGCCATGATGCAGGTTTTCCTGGCAAAACATGAAGTTGTAAAAAGACGAGCAGAGTTACTCCCTTCGCATATCAGCAGTCATATGGACAATTTAAACCTTGTGAGAAATACTTGAGATTGTTATATTCACTCATTTATGCACCAATGACAGCAAAGGAGACATAAGTAATGTTGCTGTAGAAGTGGAGCGCTTAGGGACAAGCCGTTGAGCAAGAGCTATGCACTAGTTTGTTTACTCAGTTTTGGTCCAACTGGTCACACGGTATTTTTACTGATGTTTTCCTACGGTCGCCTTTAATCCGTAGTGCAAAATACACATGCATTTGAAGCAGACAGTTGTTCATGTTTGCAAATCAAGATTTAAAGTTGCAAACTTCTTTTGACTCCAGTGTGGTTAAACATAGCTAAATATTAAAGCCGGACAGGTTATTTTTGACTGTCTGCTCTTCTTGCAACAACTTTAAAACATCCGACTGTACAGTATGGGTGCAAATGACCAGCGTGATTTTGGACTTAGAAAAATTTAGCTGACATACAGGGCGCTGCAGTCTGCTTTCAGCACATTTCCTGCATGTTTTAGACCACGAGCACAACTGTTTTAATTAATGTACTAATGAATTATTCCTGTAGACACCAATGAAGACTGGGGACACATTTCAGCTGTTAGATTAAGGTGTTGAAAAGACGTAGGCACAGCGAGGTGATAAGTTTTGCTTTCAGTTCTACAAATGGACACTAGGTGGTGCTAAAAGCAAGCCAAAATGGTCTAGTTCCCCTAGTTGATGTATCGCAGCTCAGGGTTGGTGGGGCAAGCCCGGCAAGGCAGCATCTGTGGACGTTAAACTAGTCTGTTATGGAGCCCACCAAACTTTACATGAAGTTCAAACGGTAAAATTGACTTGACTTAAAAACAAAGTGTGACTTGGGTCATTCTTTAGTTCATTTCAAAGTTAAAGCCTAGATTAACATTTTTCAGCAACTAAAACCGACTTCATGTACATTTAGAAACAATGACATAAAAAAGAAAGCATGTAAATATTGGTCTAGAAGACATTACAGGACTACAAATTGATACACACATATCTTTTATGTTACTCATTTGCTGCAACTATTTCAACTTGAGCTATACGTGTAACAAAATAGCGTGCTTCTTTCAAAATGCTCTAATTTTGATACTGAAATGTCCTTTGGTAATTATTATAATATTAACTTTGTCATATTTCGGAACCACGGCTGAATAAACTGCTGCAACTGCCACAGACCTTCATGCCGTTACAAACCTAAACCAGTATTGGTTTGAATCAGGATCTTTCATTTTTCTCTTGTGCAAAGAACATTTAAAACCCAGATTTCAATTTATTTGCCACAAGCACATGCGAGTGTAATCAATATTCACAAGTCAATAAACTGTAGAGCAGCACGTTCAATCTAGCTGCTGAATTGGGATCAGACACAGCAATGGCAGGGAAGCAGTAGCATAAATCGCCCCTAATTTCCAGTCGCACATACATGCACATGAAGCACGGCATGTCCAATGTTTCGATTATTTATTGGTAAATAGGATCAGCCATTGTTACCTAGCATTAAAAACTCACTGTGTTCCCAGTGATGTTTTCAGAACAGTGTGGTTTTCTCAGGCCCTTGGGAGCTTCTGCTTCTAGCCAACCACACTGGCTTCTAATAAGACATTTGCATGCCCAGGACACATTCTGTTCCTTCTAATCGGATGAGTCGAATGGAGGACCACACCTGCCACCCCCACCCACCTCTCCCCCGCCCACTGCCCAGCTTCTTTACCTTTCTTTTTCTGGTTGTTGGTTCAAACCAACTCTGTATTTAAACTAAGCTGACATGATTTAAATTAGCCATCAAACATTTTGAACCACCTTGAGAATTTTTTTAAATTACCTTTAAAAACACAAAACCCCGCCTCTAATCAAGTCAATGACATCTACTGTCCTCAGTATGAGTCAAGAAGGGCTTCCTACCCCCTTTCTAATTTATTAAGCAGGGTTCACAAAGAAACCCCCCTCCCCTCCCCAGCCAGAAACCATATGCAGGGAGTTACCATGTATAGGATCAGCTATCGAGTTCAGGCTTCAAGTTTCCAGAGTGGCTGTTAACCTGCACTTTGACCCCTTACTCCCTACTCTTGCAAAACGTGATGAAGCTCACTGTTTTTAACTTCTCTATACTGGGATCTGAGGAAGTGATAACTTCCAAAAGAATTAACTTGATCAGAAAGTGATCAAATACTGTTTGACAAAAGTTTGCATAAAGTTGGGATTGTTTGTAAAAAAAATATTTCATGCAAGAGCTCCCATGTAATCTTTTTGGCTTCAAGTCTGTGTGATTCTAAGTAGCTGCAGGCATTCATTCCTGCTTAAAAACAAACAATTGTATTATATGAATAAAAATGCAAAAAAGTTTCATAATGTGAAAGTTTATTATAGCATGTATTTCATTATTGCTTTGTTTAGACCAAAAACAATTGACTGTGGTTATGTTAGGAATCTATATCTGATTGTGTTGTTTTTGTTAACGTGCTTTGAGAAGGCAACATAGAGAAACAGGAAACGCAAAATCACACTGCGTATCTCATCTAGGGGACAACTAACAGCTCCCAAGTCTTAGCTCATAGGCCGACCCTAAAATAGCCGCTATTCCTCCCCGAGTGGCACTCTTCGTTTGGGTGCAGGAGAAATGAACGCAGGTTACGGTTCCTAGCCACCGAAATTCTACGCTCGGAGCTCAGAGGTGACACTTTTGACAGATTCCGCAGCAGACGGAGTTTCAGTGGGTAAAGGGGCGTTCACCGCTAAGTGCCAAACTAACAGCTAGTCAAGCTGGTCGAAAATTTCCGGAAATAAACAAGAAACTAAATGTAGATTATCAAAACAAAAGAAAAAACATTTCCATTTACAGAAGAAAGAACCAAGGTTTGTTAATAAATTCAATGTTGTCATGTCCAATACGCAAATATGTGTGGCTAAGTTTTTGTTTTATGACTGTAGGAAGAGATTATTAAGTGAATTTTACACATTTATTTTAAAATTATTTTATTCTGAAAATCTAAAGCGGAAGTATATTTCTTGCCCTAGCTGCCTTGTCTTTGCTTGACCAAATGACAGCCCTGCCTGAGTTTGCAGCTGAGCGGGGCAGAGCGCCTCGGCCGTATTATATAACTTTAAAAGTACTCGTGTGTTTTAATGGCGCAGAGGGCGACCATTTCTTCGCTATTTCTACGATTCGATGCGATGTAATCCCAGAAATTGCGACAAATTTTCCTCATTTTTTCCTTCTTGCCGGCGAGTCGCATTAAAAGTTGTCGACGGATCCCCGAACGGGCGCGCTCGGTGGACCTGGCGAGCGTCAGCAGCGACGTCGTTGAGCTTTAGTTAGAAAATATTGCGGAGAATGTTTTCCTACCCGAAGGAGGGAGACACAACAACGACGACAGCTGAGTTTTTCACCACACAACATCTGTGCAAGGAGAAGTGGGGCTGAGTCGTGGGCGCGAGCCAGTGGACCCTGCGTTATTTCACACATTTTCTGGTGTTTTCTTAAAAAGAAAAATCTTTTTAGACCTAATTTGGACTGATGGGAGATGAACTAACTGATGGAGTGAATGCTTCTCTCACTACAGGTATGGACTATCAGGTGCTTCAACTTGTTTTCTTTCTGCGGGAGAAATATTGAGGTAAAAACTGGCAGTTGCGTCGAGAAGAAGGCCGAGGACGCTGCTGCGTGTACAGCGCCTGACAGCCACGCACCAAGAATGGCACAATTTACAAAAACACGCAACGGAAACTCGCTTTATGTAGGAGTTTTGATTAAGAAAGGGCAAACACCGCTGTTTCCCGTTTTACAGGCATGCGAACTAAATGCAGTTTCCTCTTCTAACCAACAGGTTACACTAATTCTGTAATGGTGGAAAAGTACAGTGAGAACTCAGGAAACCTCAAACTTTAAAGCTTCTCGTGACCGTCCGCCGCTGTATTTTCCGCCCATTATAAATATATATTTTTTAAAATAAAAACCAAGTTTCCAGCCTATAGAGCTGCCAATAACTCCAGTGGGCGTGGCTTTGAAACATTTACAAGAACATATTTTTTTTGTAAATGATCCATTTGGAAGCACCAACTTATAAACCTCAGCCTGGATTCAATAACAGAACCAGAATAAAAAAAAAGTGTTTAAAAAGCCTCACAAGTCAGATGAATGTAGAAAACCCTTTAATGGAGACAGTTTAAATATTAAAATAGATTTTTTTTCCTATAACTGCTTTATCATCTGAAACGGTTTTAACTGAATTTTCATTTAGCTTTTTCTTGCAAATAGAGATAGCCACCGTTCCCTGCAGCAAATACCCAGAGGCCTCTCAGTGGGTTAATCTCTTTCGACAGATGCGTGTTGTTGCACACATAACTTACTGTATAGGGGACTGTCAGCAGTTTCACTTGCAAAGCAAGTTATGCCTGGGCTTGTCTCTGCATTTCTTGGCTCTCAAACCAAATAGAGGTCACACAGAATAACTTGAGGATATTAGTCATTTCTTTCCTTTAGAAGCTGTGGGTTAAACTTTGGGTGATTTGTGCCTCTTCTGCCATGTTGTACCACTTGAGCTTCAGCGCTGCATTATAAGTGATTTGCTTGCTGTAATAGCAGTTTTTTTTTTCATAAAAAAAAAATAAAGCACTAGGTAAGAGCAGCAGAGGCTCGGCATATTGTACTTTTGAACTCTCCCATGAGCGATGAGATTTCAGGGCAGATGTTGTCACTTGCTAGCTTGTAAATGATCAATATTTCAGTGAGTTTCCTACTTTATTTCCCCCCTTCTCCCTTGCTTATATGTTCAACTCAACTGTGCTTTCTGTGTTTCACCCGCTCTGTGGTTGCTTTTTGGTTACAGAATGAAGAAATGGATCAGGGTGGACCAAAGCACAACGGTAATCAAAACAACAACCTGACATTTGGAGAGCTAAGAGCCGAAGTGGGCAGAGATACTCCTGGTTTACTTCTTCAGTCTACAATGCATCTGCCTGGTCCCGGGACTCTGCCCCAGGGTACGCTGGCCCCAAACGGACGAGGCGGAACCAAAGACCAGGGGCAGCTCGGAGGCTTCTTTGATTCTCCTCAGCTCCGAGTCCCATTAGAAGGATCTGATAAGGAGGGTAAAAAAATGCCGATGCAGAAGCAAGACCCGGATATATTCAGTCTAACGGAAAACTTGCAGTTGTTTAACCAGAACATGTCTGATCTCAGCCAGACATCCACGTCGATCATCACCACCTCTGACACCTCCGTTTTGGGTAACCTCCCACTGCCTGACCTTTTTTCTCATCAAATCAAACAAGAGGGGAGTTTTTCCATGGATAAGGACATGGGAAATTACAGTGGACAAACAGGTGGTGGTCCTAGCAGTTTGGATGGCAGCAGCAATCCGCTAATGGATGACACGGAGATTTGGCAAGATCTTGACCTTTCCAGTTCGCTGCCAGAAATCAGTGCTTTCGACCTGGATTCAGAGGTGGCAAATTTGGATAGCATCCTTCATGAGAGCAGTGGCGGCGGCCGAGGAAGTTCCAACACCGGTTTGGCAAAGGAAACAAATGCCCTTTTGGGTAATAGAGAAAACTGTACTGCTGTGAATGGCACAGAGCAGCAGCAGCATCCGATGCACCAACGGCAGCCGCCCCACCACCTGGTGCAGCACCAGCTCCTGCCTCAACAGCCCTCTTCAATTCTCCCCGGTGTCGTCATCAAGGAGGAGAAAGATCCCGATTTCATCCACATTCGTACCCCCGGTGTGATCAAACAGGAGAGGCAGGACAGTGCTAGTTACTGCCAGTCGCAGTGTCTCCAGAGTGGCATGAGCTCTCTCCATGGTGGAGGAATGGGCTCCATGTCGTCTCCTATGGGTGTCGGTGCAGGACCTGCATACAACTACAGAGCTAATCCGGCCTCCTCGGTAAATCTGCCAGACCAGAAGCCTTTTGGCGCGTACTCAAATCTGCAACCAGTCGGGGAGAACTGGAAGAGATTTGGAGAGTCGTCTGGGATACAGAGCGGCAACGATGGCCTCTCATCTACGTCAGCTTTGGCAAATTTCCCCATCAGCTTCCCCAGGTGCGTTCAGAGGATTTACTCCTGCCTTGTTTTTGTTTGCTTTTGTATTTGCTCTTATTCACTGTGTGATTGACTTTGCATTTATGTGCTTTAAGGGGATTTGCTGTATTGTGAGTGCAGGTGAAAGACAACAATGAAGTACGCAGTCATTTAGACTCACTCTGGCTTAGTGCCACTTGTCTCACTTTAGTCAGTTTTAGTGTTGAAATACACTTTATTGACACTTTTGCAGTCTGACTTGGTGTTGCAAGAGACGTTTTAACACTGCTGGGGTGGAGGGCATCTGGTGCTTATCAACTACCTATGGGTCGACACAGTTAGGCACACATTCCTTAAGTTTATCCATATTGTGTCACATTCTTGGAATGCACTGTCTGAATTCTGGGAATGATTTATTGTATCTTTACAGGATCATTGTTAGAGGCTGGATGTAGGCTAAGGAATAATGCACAATTGCAAGAGTGGAAAAAAAGTGTTTTATTTTTAAAACATTTTTTCATTTGACTTGTGTTATTATTCTAATAATTGCTTAACTGCGTCTCATTCGTCATCTAATGTGTTAAAATCCACCCATGTTGTATTTTTCCCAAGTTGTAGCTCTCAAAACAGGGTTATGGCAAGTTAGGCGAAGAAGTGGTTCCCATGTCAGCTTGCGGCATGGTCGAGTTTAAGGTGAAAGCGACTCGAGTGTGAAAGTTGCGTGCGTACGTGCAGCTCGGATGGGTCTGGTTGGCACGCCTCGCTTCTCAGCTTGGAAGTATCATCTGATCGAAACGGGAACGTTAAAAGATTTGGTTTTGTGGTCTGAATGTGAGCTGAAAGGTTGGGGGGGGGGGGATCCATGTTAGGTAATTACGTGAGTCATTGTGTTCTTTCTCAAAATGGTATTGAGCCTCATGGTTCTGTTTGGTTTGAGACCTTTTAGATAAACATGGGGTTCAGCAGCTGTTGGCTCCTGGCTGTCAGGCAGTTATGTTCCCTTAGGCTGTTTACTGTTACACACACACACACACACACACACACACACACACACACACACACACACACACACACACACACACACACACACACACACACGGTCAGCGTATTTAAACTCTGTTCTCTAGGAGCTCTTTCAGTCGACCAAAGCAAGCTTTTCTACTCAAAATGACTGCTGTTCTACTAATTCTAACTTCCTGGTATGTTGGTCCTCGTTGTACCTGTGTGACACGCGATTTCATGCAGTTTTTTTTAAGTATGTGCAGAGCTACACCTTTTAGAGCATCTTAACATAGGGACACATCGACCCACCAGAGGACTGCCAAACAAACTGTTCCTATTTGTACTCTCATCTCATCAGGAGTTCCAAATTATCAATACAAGCCAAGTTTTTAAAATATTAAAGGTGCAACAAATGACTTTTGTTTGGATAAACCTTTTAAATGCTTAATAAGTAGCTTATTATAAGTAGTTGATCATTTTCAATGCAATTATGCATAAAAGACTGATTAAATGCAACATAAGGATGTTAGCTAGTGGACATTGATTTGTATTAAAGAATCCAAGATTAAATATAAGAAGGAAAATTTGTACAAATGTCTGATGTAAATAGTGTTGTCAAAAAAATCGATACCTAGATATAAATCGAGACTAAAAGTGGCATCTAAATTAGATATTCCATCCCTGTGATATCGATACTATGGACTATTATACACAGCCTTCTTCAAGTACACCGACACGCACGACAGCCAGATGCCGTAAAGCAGCCTCCGCCTCCCAGACAAACAGAAGAAGAAGACGCCGCATGGCTACATTGCAATTTCCCACGCGAGTTGTCTCCAGTCCAAGTTTTGTCTGCCAAATAAATAAACAAAAACATAAACAGCGAATTTGGGAGGCGCTTCACAGCCCAACTTAATTAGCATACCAAGTCCGATACGTAGTTGTATATTCACGCTTATGTGCTTAAAGGAAACTCCCGTTTATTGCAACCCGGACTTAATTTCTAGCATGCAGTATGTTTGTTTACTCACGCTGACAAGTTTGGTGCTACTTGGATTCCCCGGGGTATTTAGATCCATCGGCGAATCGCCATCAGTGTATATCCATATAACGGGTGCGGACGGGCACCCATGGTGCAGCCTCGAAATAAGACATTATCTGCACCAAAACACATCTTCATGTCGAAAGGTTTTGTTAGGAATCATTAACGTGATTCCCCTGTTCGTTTGGAGCGGGTTTGGGATTTCTAGGCGTAAACAGACTAGCTGCGGCTAATTAACCGGCCCTTTTAATGACATCACTGCCGTGCGCCAATCTGTTTTTATTAAGATTACCAGTAGATGTACTTTTGTCCTACTGTGGAGAAATTAGTTTTCCCCCTTTATTGACCAACAGAGTTGTTCAAAAGTACAGAACAAAACATATGGCATTACATCTTATGACAAAAGTGCTACTTAAATAGAGTTTAAGCAGCAAAACATCACTCTGCAAATAGTGTATATATAGTGAGACAATTCATGATTTAAAGTGTTAACTTTCGCCAGTTTTTGTATGGACGTTTTAAAAAATGCTGATACTTGAAAGGTTTAAGCACTTTATACACTTAATTCTTAACATTTAATTTTTGCAATATAAATTGAGGAATGTTATTTTTTGAATAAACTTGTTCAATAAATTGGTGTTTGTAAATAGTATCGAAATCGAGTACCGAGTTTTTTTTCCAAGTATCGAATCGAGTTTGAAATTTTAGTATCGTGACAACCCTAGATGTAAACATCTAAAGATGGTGTTTACAGTCAGAAATACTTCAATAAATCACGTAAGAGTCAAAAATATATTATATAACGTTTAAGTTTCAAAAGTGTGGCTGAAAAAGCAAGTCTTTAAGCAGCAAAACATCACTCTTGTAACTTAGCAACATTCTGTTATAAAATTGAGCCTCATCTGAGATGGCCTAGCAGTGTTTTAGGGCTTTGCAACACTATTCAAACACAGTCTGGCTGAAATGCGTAGCTTGGCTCAAACTTGCCGTTACATAACAAGTACGTAAATAGACAAAGATTTAATGTTTAATGCCTAAAACGACCTGAGTTTCTCAGAGGAGTCACGGAATTGACCCAAAATAATGTGATGCGTTGTCCAGTTTGAGTTTTTGAGTGAATCGCGTATTTTAATGTATTTCAGATAATAATAAATGACGAAATGAGTTGCTTTAATTTACTGATCTTCATGTCTAAGTTTAAAACTCTTCCTTTGTTATGACAGCTGGAACGATTTAAAACCTTCTCCGTTTCTGTGCTTCCTTCATCAGCGGTTCCCAGAGCAGGGTGTGTTTGCATTTCTGTTTGTGTCTATTCCGCCTGTGCCACGTGTACAGGCATACAATCATGTGAGACTGCCTTTTTCTAAAGTCAATCAGTTTTCTTTCCCTCCAGCCTGTTCTGTCTCCATCAGCCCCTCCTTGGTGGTGGTGAAACGTTGGTTCCTCCACACTGTTTACAGTAATTCAGATGCGTTGTCTTCTTCAAAATGACTTCAAATCAGCTTTTCATTCAATTCTGAGTTGTGAATGTTTCAAAAAAGTTCAAGCAGTGGTCGTTGCTGGTGTGCACCACATTCTGGTGGTTGGAAACTAACGGGGGGGCCTGGGTCTGGCTGTTGGCTGTGTTTGCACACAAAATGCCTGCAGAGTCCAGTTGCATTCAAAGGACGACTCCTCCCTCTGCAGCGTAACTGAACAAACAGGTGGTGACAAACTTCCTTGTAGTGTTGCCAACTTTAATAGTTTGAGTCTGAATTTTCAGTTAACGTCCTGCTGCAGATTCATTTGCATCACATTTTTGATCGGTAATAATAATAGTTTAAAAAGTGTACTTTTAGAGTAGTTATCTACTTAATTCCTAAAAATGTCTTATTCCAAAGTTAAAATCCACTAGCAAAAGTACACAAATTAAAATAAAATCACAAGCACTGGTTTTAATTTGGTGGCAGTCATTAGACGTTTGAAAAGGGCCGTGGCTGCGGTTTTTATACAGTTAAATGGAACATTCACGGCTCAATACAGCAAAATAAATCTTCAGATAACAAACTGAAGAGAAACCGTTGTGGTACGTTCATCAAAACACGCTCACACTGTCACATAAAAGTTCAGACTTTGCTCTAAATTTCAATCTAATAAAACAAAGACGTCTTTTCTCAGACGTTTTTGGCATTTGGCAGGAAATAAACATGCAACATATGCTAATCATATTATTCTGTTATTTTTTTAATGAAACTTTTATAAAGTACATTTACATTTGAACAATAATCCAGAAGAAGCAGCTTTCAGCGGTGATGTATATAACCCCCTAGTGTTTAGTCATGATTGTTTCTTTTATGACCTGTCGTATTAAGTCTGGCTCGATTCAACACCGTTGCATATTTTCACATGAAGCAACATGTAAAAATTACAGCCAACTAAGATGTCATGTTCTTATTGGAAGTCAAGTACATGTTGGAGGTTTTGGTTTGAAATGAGCTAAAATTGAAACAAGAAACCCTTCCTTTAAATCCCATTTTCTTTTTTTTGGGGGGGGGGGGGGGGGGACTTTTGTCTCGTTTTAAATAACGTTTGTACGTATTTGATCTTGAAAAAATGAAAACATTTCTATTTAACATATGGAGTTGACAACAATAACCAGACATGAACACAGTTTTGATTCTGTTTTTTCACTCTTGCTGGTGGGATAATCTTTCCATTGTAATCTCTTAAGATTTAAAACCTCAATCTGCATTCTTTGTGTTCGTGTTACTTTACTGCTAGGGCTACTTAGCACATTTTTACTTCTTTATTGACCTTTTTCTGTTTGTTTCAGTTTTCCATAAGATCCAAATCTCCACAGTCACAAGTTGGACTAAAGTTTTTGTGTCATTGATCTCCAGAGGGGTTTTCATACCTGATGTTACTGATCACCAACACTAATATGATATTTTCCATGTTGAAGAGTCCTCTTTGGAAACTTCACTAAATTCATATATAA